TTATGTAGAATGCTACATAGTCCTAACGGTCGTCCTTTAGGGTAATCTACTCTATTCAAGAGGAAAAAAGGAAGACCATATATAAAACTATTATCTTGAGCACGGTGTATAACATTGGCATAATGCACGTTAAGGCGTTAGTCCTGGCTGCATCAGCAACGTTAACACCCACCGATACGCATTAAGCCCGCGTAGTGGGTTATGGCCCATTGATCTTATTCGATTCGTCTGCATTCATAGGAAAAAAATAATTCTACCAAAATACTTCCCACGCAGACGAAGTCGCGGGCACAGCTAGTATAAAATAAACCTTATAAATAATAATAATAGTAGTTTATTTGCAAGAATATGGTACAAATGATATTACATAGTTATTAACAATAGTTTCTCATATTCTACATTATATGAACAGTGTGCAATTTTTTTTTTTTTAATATTAAAATATAAAGAATTTAATGTTACAGTATAAATCATATCAATAATTAACAATTAACCATTTGAATACAATATTGTATTTACGAATTATCATTACAAAAGTCAAATTAAATGTTATCTAAACTTTAATTGAATTACCAATTTTATCCTTTAAAAAATCTTTAATATTATATTACATTCTATTAATTAAATATTCATGCAGCTGTTTTTGGAACTTCGTGTAAGTCATGTCAGTGAGGTGTTTTGGCAGCTTATTGCAAATACGTATAGCCCTACAAAAAGCATTTTCGGAGATTAATTAAGGTTTTTGCAATTAATGCACGTAGGTGGTGACGCAGTGGAGGGACACTTTTTGCAGGCATGTTTTGTAAGCCCGCAATGAGTTCAGTAGATCGTCGGTAGTAAGGTTAAACTGCGCATTGCGTTACACCAATTCAAATGTCAGCTGATCATGTGGAGTATCTTCATGGATGCTATTGAGGAGGACAATTGGGTAGGATTTTCCTCTAGGGCTCCGCAGTGAAAGAATTGGATGCTGTGGCGCGCAGTTGGTCGGCGGCCTTATCCCTGTCTTGCTCTGTCTCGTAGTGTAAGCGGATTTTCCCCTTGGAGACGTGTCGGACGTTTATAAGGGGATTAAGTCGAGATTGTACACATTACATATATTATATATACATATATACAAGACTACATAGATGGTAGTAAGATCGTCACTTGCCTTAAAAATAATCGGAAATTCATTTATTCTCCCCTATACGAAGTTTACATCTGTTATGTTATTTTCGAAATTAAAAACGCAGTTTGACAGAACTGAACTTATATTAAAAATCAAATCAA